TTTTCCTTCTTGTCAGTGCAAGTGAATGAAATCAGTGGAAGCGACTCTCACGTGTGTGGGAGAGGAAGTTCTTCATCCTGTGAGCTCTTTATTATTCATGCTGCAGCGCTGCATGTTGTTCTGTTCGCCTCTTTAAACCCTGAACGAGCTGCTGGATGTGATCGAGCTGTAAGGAAAGTTTGAGGAATTTTAAGCCCCACGCATGTGCTGTCTGTTATTTCATTAATTTATTTACTTGTGTGTATATATCTGCCCACGGGCTGCCGACATGACAGCAGAGTCAGAGGAAGAAGGGAATGGCAGCGGGATGAAATGAGTTTTAGATTTATAATCCCTTAGCCGTGACCCCCATTTCCTGCAGCCTGACGTCCTGGGGAAATGTCACGTCAGGCTGGTGTTGGCCGGATTCGATGGACAGGAAGGAGACGCCTGCACACACAGACTCTGCTTATGCTGGCCTTCATCTACCTGCATGCTTTAGGTTTGTTTTGTCATAAAATAATGGCCTGCTTGCTATCATGCAGGTTTCTCTGTATCGCGTTCTTGTCCATGTAAAGGATCCTACAGCCCGGGCTGGTTGTCTGCTGTCATCTCTGAATGTCTTCACATGAAGCACAGTCTTTGCTTCCAGGAAGATTAAAGAAGATGATGTAACTGCATGTGTTGGAGGAGGTAGAATATTAAAACCACCTGCCTAATGGATGGATGGATGGATGGAACTACTGTATTAATCCTTAAGGGGAAATTTGGTTGTTACAGCATAAGACAGAGTTACCACCACCATAAATACCAATAAATAGGCAAAAATAAACAATAAAATGCAAAATGTACAATAAGTGTAATATATCAAGTAGGAAAAGTCCTGTGTGGAGTGTAAATAGTGGAGTGCATCTTGTGTAAGTTTCCCGCGTGCCTCCAAAGCGGCTCTGACCCGTCGAGGCGTGGACTCTACAAGAACTTTGAAAGGTTTTAATGCTGTGGCTGATCAGTGTGTGATCACCAAGGCTGATTATTGCTGCTTAAATTTAGCCTTCGTATGCATGTTCTCCATTGCGTTTAACCTCAGTGACTCATGCTCTGGGCTGCACGGTGGCTCAGTGGTTAGCACCGTGGCCTCACAGCTAGAAGGTCGCTGGTTCGCGTCCCGGTGAGGACACCCGGGATCTTCCTGCGTGGAGTCTCCATGTTCTCCCCGTGCAGCGTGGGTTCTCTCCGGGTTCTCCGGCTTCCTCCCACAGTCCAGAAACATGCTGAGGTTAATTGGTGATTGTAAATTGTCCGTAGGTGTGAATGTGAGTGTGCTTGGTTGTCTGTCTCTAAGTGTAGCCCTGTGATAGACTGGTTACCTGTCCAGGTGAACCTGCCTTCACCCTGAGTCAGCTGGGATAGACTCCAGCCCCCCATGACCCTGGTGAGGATTAAGGTATAGAGATAATGGATGGATGGACTCATGCTCTTCACTTCCAGGAGCAGGTTGAATGTATTTAGTTTGTATGCAGCAGGTGATGCTTTCAGACACGATGAATCTAAGATGCGTTCTGCAGATTATCTGGGGAGACGTGTGGACTCTGATAGCTTCATCTGCTGGCGTGGCAGCAGCACCAGCTAAAGCTCCCCCTTTGACCAGTCAGTCATCGAGCAGGAGACGGTGAGGAGCATGTTTTCTCTGCCAGTCTGTCAGCGTTGGTCTGTCTCATTGTGTGGGAGAGGCCTTTGACCCGCTGCAGACGGCGCGTAGCGATGAGGCGGAGAGCCGCCGAGCCTGCCGCACTCCCATCATTAACATGGAGAGTCACGCTTCCCCTCTGCACCAGCCATTGTTTTCTGTTTCTGTCCTTGAGAAGAAACATGCTTCGTTTCCACAGCCCACATTCGCTCCATTTAATTTTGCAGCTAATAATCAAGGTCAAGGATTTTCTAGTACAATATGTCGGTCCCGCTGCTCCGCTGACCTTTTTTCTGTCGACTACTTGCTAAAATGAGTGTGTTTTTTATTTTTTCTGTCAGTCATGCTGTATTCTGGCGTTCCTCTCTGCCTTAAACCAGAGTGACGGTTGTTTTACTGGGCGAGCTAAGCTGACAGCTCCATTTGGTGGATTTCTGCTGCAGTTGGTGTTCAGAGGAGGTGACACTCTGTGGAGAAGGAGACGCGCAGGTTGCTTGAGCAAACACGGCAGGCAGCAGGACGGCTTAGCGGGGCGCTCGAAATAAACGAGGCTCGTGTCAGGTTGTTGTCTTTGATTCAGAATTTAATTTCCCCAGAATCCGAGCAGAGAGAATCACCACAGACTCTGTTTAGTCTGGAGCTGTTAGTTTAGATTTCAGAAACTATAGTTGGAATCTATTAGTTTTATTTATTTCAGAATAAATACATTAATGTTGTAATATACTAGTAGCACAGGCTTTCATTGGTTTTCTAGTTCAGCTTCATTGTGCCATAAATGTTTGTTTTCTCCTTTTGAAGGATGATAGGAACAGAAGTCAGCCCTTCATGCACGGAGGTGATTGCTCAGCCTTAGTTTGTGGCGGCACAAGAGATTTTTTTGGATTGCTTTTATCTCTAAGTCAGGTTAGATTTCTTGTCGTAATTTTCACATGGAAGTCTTGCACATGAGGGGAAGCATCAGCCGGCTTCAGTCCCACAACCCAGATCTGAAACAGGTGTTTCTGGCACACGGGACCTGCTTAAAACTCTGCACCACTCGTGACAGCAGCCATGGCAGCCGCTTCCCGCAGAGCCTCCCTGCTGCCGGAGGGAGACTCGGAGGTGGCTGAGCGGTGCAGGTTCTGCCAGCGTGTGCCTGACTAGAGATGAGACCCAGTTTTCTCTGACAGAGCCCAACATCTCCGGAGATTTAATTTTTATCTCCTTCATATCTCGCTCTCCGTCTGGCTTGTCTGTCTCGTAGCTGAGGCTTAAGTCTTTGCTTCCTCGTATCCAATAAAAGCAAACAAAACACTTTAAGTAAATGTAATGGAGTTTAGAGTTTGGAAAAATGGTCGTCTGTGATCTATATTGGGATTATTTTTATTGTAAGTGGCAGGATTTCTGCTGATTGTTCTCAATGTAAAGAAGTCCTCCAAATACATTTCATAATTGACTCCTGTTGGTCATGTTTACGTCGCTGATGTGTGGTGGGCTGTTTGTGTTGCAGAGGGAGATGAAGGAGCAGCTGGCCACCCTGCAGGACAGCGAGAGGGGACACACCGAGGCCCTGCAGCTCCTGCAGCGACAGCTCACCGAGACCAAGGTAGGACAGCAGGTCCTTCCAAACAGCAGGTCCCCTACAGAGCTGGACCAGGAGCAGCCGCTTCCTCTGAGGCTGGAGCATCACTATCGTCTATAAAATCTTTAGTAATATTTACACAACAATGCTCATCACAGAACTGCAGAACGCTCTGTCACGCTAACAAACACTCAGCTTACTGTGAATGAGGAAAGCCAGCAGCGCTTTGACAAGTAGGAGACGTGGATTATTACCAAAAAGTTAAGATCAGTCAATACCTTTGTTGGTTAAACTCTGACTTTGGTCTGAAACAATCTGTACGTTTGTCATTTACCGTAAATTCTGGACTATTGAGGCACCTGAATATAAGCTCCACCCACTACCTTTAAACATGAAACCAGGTGTGTTCATATCCAGGCTGCAGGTGTCTCTAAGCTGCAGGTGTCCACGTTGGAACATGAGATATTTACACAGAAAGATGTTTTAACCTTTAATTAAACCGGTAACATACACAGATATACTGAAGCCCAGAGCGGTCGTTTTCCGCTACTGTTCTTTCTTCGCCGTTTTCTCGAGATAACGAGTTAATTTTCTCGTTATCTCGGGATAACAAGAATCGTTATCTCGTGAAAACAAGATAATTGGTGTTTGTGTTTGCCCGCTCGTGCCCGGTCCAGGATGGAATCCCAGGTGTGTGGGACCTCCCACACACCTGGGATTCCATCCTCAGTCACCAGCGGGGGGCCGGAGGACAGACCAGACCGGGCACGAGCGCTTCGTTGTAAGCTGTCATGCCCGGTCAGCTGTTCTCATGACACGTCATGTCGGAGTTCCCGGTCAGCTGTCTATATAAGATACGTCACACCAGGAAGTCTGACAACTTCTGAGGAAGTGGAAGTGACAGGCGAAACTGTCAACGGGATAATTATCTCGTTATCTCGAGAAAATGCCGTTTAAAAAAATGTGCGGCCATGACTGCTCTTGGCTTCCGTACAGATACGTACCGTAGAGGCTTTCTTCTGAACACTTCCTGTAACACGGCTGGTTAAGGAAATAAAACTCCAGCAGCTACCAGGAAAAGTCACTGATGGCTATCTTCATCTTCCTCCTGCACTAAAACCACTAAAGTC